TGACTCGGTGACTGAACCCATAACTCCAAAACTCAACCAACACAAAAATGAAGCGCAGGTAGAATATGCCAATAAATATGGGAGAATGCATGAACCAACGCGTAGCAATGCGAAATCCGCCACCAACGATGTCGAGGCACACCACCAGCATCAGCAATTTGACGATGCGACGGAAGGACTTGAAGCGCAGCGTACCTAGTACTTGGTTTTCGGCAATACCCTGCTCAATTTTCTTTTCTTGTTGAATGCCTTGGACAGCCGTGAGGATAAAAATGAGACAAGTCGAGATTGAAAAAAGGAAAAGCCAAATTTCTACGGAAATGAAGAAGATGTTGGTTGCTTTTTCCCATCGGCAGTCGTTAGCGTGATTATCTGCGATGCCAAAAACACGACGATCAAACTCGATGGCACTTTCCAGCCCGATGAGTTGGCACGCTATGCCGAAGGACGCCTGGATAGTGACGAAGAGCCACACAAGTCCGACCATCCTCCAGACCCAGCGGCTCATGATGGTGTAGTGATGCAGGGAGAAGATCACCGCGACGTGCTGCTCCACGGCCAACATCAAGGCGGCCAGCTTGAAGGCAGCGAAGGCGCTCGCAAAAACCGACAGCATGCCCGAGCAAAGCAGCAACGGCATTTGGTTTCCCATCAGCATGTCAATCGCAATGCTGACAACGGCTACAGCGCTGAACAAAACGCCCACAGCCGCCATGTTTAACATCAGAATGACTATTGGCTCATCTCGGATGTCTTGATTTTTTCCAATGATGGTCAAAGGTACGGCAAAGAGCAGAAAAAGCACAGCGGAAATGCTGAGCCTCACCAGTGTAAGCATACTGACTTGTTTGAGGATCCGGATAGTCTTTGCAATTCCTCAACAACGGTGCTGAAGCAAACTTGGTCTTACCGGCCTATGAACTTCATGTCTCGTTGGATGAAATCAGGGACTGGTCACCAGCTTACCGCCATAGGCATATGAACTTCAGATCTCGTTGAACAAGTTCAGGGACCGGTCACTTGTCAAACAACAAAGGCGCAAAACCGGAAGATGCTAGTCGCTTGCAGTGAATACAGTCTACAGCTACGAGCGGTTGAAACAGAATGCTCCCTTTATTACAATCTGCGATGGACTGCGGAGAGCCACCAACGTCCTGTCGTCCTGATGTCGTCGAAACCCCACATGTGATAGACTACTTAGCCGATAAATAACAATTCACATGTCTTCAGAATATACCTTTCCAATTTTCTAAATGTAATTCTCTATGGGTCTTCCGAAGTCTCATAAGTTCTCTGCGTTCCTGGTGGGGTCGCTCTGTAGTTCCAATCTGCGACATTTGTCCCTACACTGGCCACACTAGTGAATATTATTATATATCGTTAACTATATTTTCTGTGTCAGTTTGTATAAATATGTACCGTGCTACCTCTGTACGGCCTGCGCGAGGTAATGTCGATCCTTCTGTACCGGAAACCAGAGACTTTCGCCCAACCTCAACCCTTACCGACGCTTCTAGCCACGTTATTGACTGAGGCCACTAACTTGGAACATTCTGAACGCTTACCCTCCGTCAAAAATATTAAAGGTGATCTTGAATATTATATGACCAAAGTTCCATGAACAGAGCAAAGTGAATGTATGTAAAGTCATATTCATCAAGCGATAACTTCATATATTTTTTCGCACAAAACATGAGAAGTTTTGATGGATGGGAACGTTCTTACTTTTTAGCATAATTTTTTTGCTATGATTATATGTAAAAAAAGTGTAAATGATCTGTGGGAACATTTGAAGGCAACAAAAATAGGTTCTTGGAAGTTTTTTTAGCATTGCTTTAATTATAATTTTGACAAGTAAGAATTATTATAACGTTTTGCCCATGTCTATAGACAATCGAAATCCGGGATATTTTCGATGCTGGACCTTCAGTGGACGATCATTCCACTGAAGGGTCCAGCACCGAGAAAATGCTTCCATATTTTTCTTCGGTTTCTACTTTCCTTTAGATATTAAAAAACTACCTTTGATGTTTGAATGGACGGATTGACAGAGCCGAGGCCTACGCTGAGCAGATCTTGTTGCGTAGACCCTGTAGCGTAGAGTAACGGGATAATTTAGATGCCAAAGTTTAACGTACCCTTCAAAGCCGGACACGGCCTGTCCCACTCAGGACTTCAAGTGGCTGCGGCTGCTCCCACCAACCGCAGGCCATCCCCGTCAGGAGTCTCAAATATCGAGCGCCGGAGTGACTCGAACCCGGGCTCTCACTACCGGGAGCCCAACGCTCTACCAACCGAGCTACGGGACATGACCAAACTGCTGTCATTCAAACTTGTCAGAGCCAGCAAGAGAAATCCAATATATCTTTTCCGTGCTGCAGCTCCAACCTTCAGATAGGACTAAATGGTTATCATTTAGGCACGCTTGTTTTTTCCAGAACATCAGGCCTTCAAATCGAGAACCTAGCCAAGACAGTTCCACCATTTTAAGTGATCAATAAAAAGACAGCTGTTTTCCATTTCAGTTACCTGTTACTAATATTAATTGAAGTTTCTTTCGACTCCCCTGTCATAGCAATGCAGACAGTATCACGTCGGCTCCTAATAAAACAGATGAACCCCATGTGGCACATTTGGGGTAGAATGTGTGGCCAGAGCTAATGTGTGTCGATAAGCAAAAGAGACAGCAGTCACCTTCAGTTATATCAGTTGCTATGAAGTCCCAATTTATTTTTCTAATTAGTCAATGAGAATACCTAAAAAGGAAGATTCACTTATTTGAATGGCTGATGTAAGAAATAATCGCTTGAAATAATGTCCTTGCATTATCATTTTATCATCCATAAATTTCAGGCCCCATACGAAAGCACCATTCTTGCTGTTATTACTCACGTATCTTGGTGAACATTTATAGCTCAGACGCCGCTCGTGCCCAGCTCGCAGTAATTTACTGGTCAGCGGACACGGGTCACCTCCTTTGCTGCACTTGTCACAGCTCTGCTGCATCGACCCTCGGCCGCACCGGGGCCTGCACTCATCGCCGGGACACCGCTGCACCTTGTCCGGACGGCCCCACGGACCACGCGCCCAACAGAGTTCACGTCACTGCACAAAGGCCAGCGTGCAGTTTATGAGCGCTCAGTTTACCGACTGTGCTCGGCGATGGGCTCAAAGCCGCCACCGCGGGGGTCGACCCGATTTACCCCGAGGCACAAATGGGCCACCGGGACCGCTTGTGCGTCGGCTTTCGCGAGTCATGAATATGGCTCAGATGTGATGGCGGCTATATATTCTTGGCGACTGCTAAATAACTTGGTTTTCCTGGTGTGGTCATAGGCTGTGATAGGCTGTGATAGGCTGTGATAGGCTGTGGCACGTTGACAGATTGGTTACTACCAAACTGCATTGGGTAAGCAGATAAGCACATCTAGGCCGACGCGGTACTTATGCATTGTGCTAATTGTATTGCATCCATCGAACACATCCACCGAGCTAGCTGAACAAGCTCCAGCTTTTTTCGGACAGGGAGGGGAATGCTTTGGTGACTCGGGTAACCGGACTCGTTGCCTCAGGCCTCAGAAATCGTTGTTGCATCGGGGATTATGATATATATGGCTTACATCATTGAGGGGCGACACAGATGAAAGATCATCAATGGTTATAATGTTTTGTATGCTCACTTCCCTAATGCTTACTATGTGACCAATCTAGATAACATGTGACCAACTTTCGAGTGGTAAAAGCCGTCATAATTACGAGTTTGTCGACTGTTTCGACTCTCACATCTGTGAGTTGCAGCTAAACTCATTCGTGTTTTCTGTATGCTTGACTTGGTCATAACATTTTTATCACTATTCCTCAAATGTCGAATCATCAAATGATAAATTCAAATTATCTAACCGAATACCGATGATCCTTCTGAGACCGGAATAATCTATTTTCCAATTGTTGGAAAACAATTCTGTCAGACACAGCTAGAGAGATAACAGATGACGGGAGGGTGAGACAGATCACCATCAACGCTTTGAAGAAATCAAATAGTGAACGAGAGCCTGACTTCCAGAGTCACCAGTGGAAATTCGGCGCTGGAATTTGTCACCTACGTCCCTTCCCTTCAGGTCGTTAGCTCGCCGCCTTTAGTCGTTATCTCGCCGCCAGTGCGGTGTAAAAACGACCCCTCTTACAGCGACCGAGCTGTCAGCCGCGGTCATTGTGTCACCCATTGGTGGAGGTGTGTCATCGGTCTCCCAGGTCACTGCTCCCAAACGTTGTCGGGTATTACACCAGCCGGATATGCTGCAAAAACATACCACCAATTCGTCAAACATCGCTTTCCAGCCATCGACCATCGATGGCCATCTGTCTTCCTTGCCGGCACTGATCGATTGTGGTTATATAGCTTCTTCCCTGACCAGCACTATGACTGGTGTCTCCTAGTTAAGTTGCGGTTCTCCCAGACGCCAGATCAGCACTCCATGCAGGGATTAGTTTCCTGACCACCAGCTCAGCACCCCTGGGCACCCGTTGGACCTCTCATCTCCCCTCTATGCTGGGCGGACGTGTGGTGTCAGCATTGTCGTTATTATCGCGCCTAACGACGGCCCGGCTCAAAGGAAACGCCACCGACAACCACGGTCGGATAAACCCTCGCCACCGAAAGAAAAAGTCTGATCACAGACAGCGTCAAATTGCGTGGCTTGACGGTGACAGAGTCCCCTCTGCCAAAGCCACAAATGGAACCGCCTGGCGTCGACGGCTAAAGGCGGGAGTGCCGAGCGGATTAAATCGGAACGAACTCCATTTTATCGGATTTGAAGTTGTGGCCTAATGGAGAATAGATTTTCGTTGGTATAGCTGTCAGACGACATCACTCTCGTTTGGATGGTGCAACTTCCTTTGCTTTGGTAAAAAATGGATGTTGTTTTCCATCAATTTTAATTTTGGAATGTTCCTGCATTGGTGGTTCTCAAAACCGTACAATGTCGTTTCCATCATTTAATTACAAATAAGTGGGATTCATCCTTTTCTGCCATCCTCAAATCTTGCTACATTCTACTATCTGGCATTGCACACATTTCCGGCTTCATCGCGTCCGAATTAATCTCGCTATAGCGTTTGACAGCTTTACTAGCGAGCGTGCCGGGCAGACAACGTCCAAACAGAACACATAAACCATACTCCAATTTTACACGCCGCTGATTTTTGCTAAAGTATGTTCACGCGGAGGCGAGTAATACCACGAGAGGCTTTGTGTGTAGCAGCAGCCGTATTTCACAAAGCCCTCACATTACGTACGCTCGCTTTGTCTCCTATATTGGCTGGAAACTTTCAGCGGTAAAATTCGACCAACATATCAGAATATGCAGTAGTAAATATTTTACATGTATTATCGTTCAATATTAAGCTGAACGCTCTCATAACATTGCAACATGGGACACCAGTCACAAGGAGGTACTATTTATGCGTCACTCAACCGATCAAAAACCTCCTAAACAGCGAACCACACGGGGAAACGGAGCATCGAGCCATCTGGACGCGACTCATTCCCTACGTGACACAGGAACAGCGATTGAACAAACAAGTGCATACGAACTGCCCTATAGCAATTGTGCTTTTTGCGAAACGGCGTGATTTACGCAAAGTCTTTGCTGCTGGACCTTTTAACCTGTTCAATTAATCGTCTTAGTGACATTCAGAGGGCATTATTTAATTGGTGACCAATGACACACAAGTTTAAATCTTAGACGCAAAGCTTTCCGTAGGCTATAAAAAGTATTTCAAAACCGATGATTTAATTTCAAACTACACTTAGCTATGAATGGCCTTGCGACAGCTATTACTAAAACGTCACGGAACCAACAATATTTCACTCATTAGAGATTGTTGTAGTTTGTTAGTTCCTCGATACTGTTATCTTCTACTTAGAAATGGCATGCGACCGTTCAGTCATTATCCAGATTTCCGCAGTTGAAGCACTGCGGTCTAAAGCTGACACTCTAAAAGTGCCGATGTGCCCCAGCATCACAACGTGTCCGATAAGCTCGACAACAGGTCAGGTAGAAACGTGACGAACTTTAAGGAATACTCGTATAAATAGGAACATGAACTCAATAACGACGCGATCGCTGTGCAATTGTCATAGCGTGAACTGCGAAACCGGAGACTGCCGATGACTAAGCTCAACCGGTAATATAGCTTGAACACCTGTCATAGTTGAACAACTAACGGCGTGGATGACTTTTACATCAACCTCTTCACCCAACGTTCATTATAAGACTAAAATAATCGTAAACATGGTGACAAAACAAACGACACTGTTGCAACGTTTCAACTATCAATAACACATCAAATTTTCAAATAATTTAAAACAAAAATAAAGATACAAATCCATACAAACACGAAATTCCACCTAAACACATACGCAGTCACACCAGCTTACACGAACGTAACACCTATGTAAACCACTCCCCTCTTTCCAGTACACAAATGGATGGATTGTTCACACTGACGCGGCACTGAACCACCGGGCGGGCCTCTTGTGTGTGTTTAACCACAGAAGAGCTGAGTTCTCTCTGGTTGGCTAGATGAGCCGGTCAAACGAAGCCGACAGATCCTGCATCCAGCCGAGCAGGTCACACGGCTGCGGCCGCTGCTCAGGCTCCAGGGACCAGCAGCTCAGCAGTGCAGTGTACCTGAAGTGCAATGAAACGGAACGGTAACGGGGTGCATGGGTAGCATTAAACAGTTCCGCATGCATTCCGTTTGGCGCTTACGGCTCTGCGCTGAAAGATCCTCGAGACAGATTGGACACTTGCCCTGGTCAGTTATCGATGTATTATTCAAATTATAGATTGATCACTTATTTTGAGAATGAGATTTTACGATCAGCACAACAGATAACATTGCACAAAAGATGGCAAATGACAAGTTCGCGTTTTAGTCAATCCAGCAGTCCCGTTCGCGTGTCCGTCTTACATTTGTGTGGGGCAGGCGGTGGGCCGAGCCAGCCGGTAGCCCTCTCTGAGCAGCACCAGCACCTCCAGCGGGTCCTTGAGCTCGGAGAAGGGCAGCTGACCCAGCGAGGTCACCTCCCAGGCGGTGACGGCCGCCGACCAGACGTCGCTGGCCGGCGAGTGGCGCTCGCGCAGCAGCGACTCGGGCGCCGCCCAGCGGATGGGCCGGCGGGCTCCGTCCGACAGCCGAGAGTACTCGTCCGGGTACAGCTCGGCACTGAGCGCTGCGTCCGCCAGACGAACCCGCAGACGGTCGTCCACGCTGCGGAGGGAACAGACTGGAGTCACCAGTCATGCGAATCGTTTGTGAATTGTGAACTTACGTGGAATGTGGTTTCGTGGTCTCCATTTACTTTCCTGAAGCGTCAGATAGTAAGTTGTAAGTTCTAATTTTAAATTGTAGCGTTAGATGCCTAAAAAAGCATAATAATTTCCCATTCATAACCAATGAAAAGCGCGAAGCTTGCAAGTGTTATCAAGCGGAAACTTGTGTCAACTCTGACCTTCTTTGGGTCATATATTTAAGTGCAAGATCGATTAAGTGAAAGCCTGAGTTTAGAAGAGGTGTTGCCACTCACACACAGTTTCTGGCGGCCACGTCCCTGTGGACAATGCCGCGGCCGTGCAGATGCACCAAGCCGGACAGCAGCTGCACCGTCATGTCCACCATGGTCTGCTGGCGGAGCACCGGGCCGGCGCCGGCGGCCCCCTCCAGCCGACACGTGGCCAGGAAGCGGCGCAGGCTGGCCGTGCCCAGGTCCGGGTAGAGCACGCACGGCGGCCCCGTGTCGGCCGTGCAGCCGAGCGCTGGTAGCAGCGCCGGGTGGCAGCAGCCGGCCAGCAGCCGTCCTTCGGCCACCAGCTGCCGGCACTGCTGCGGGCTGGCCTGCGCCGTCACCGTCTTCACCAGACAGGGCCGGCGGCCGACGGTGGCGCGGTACTGCCGAGCTACACCGCCCTCGGCCAGCAGGTCAGTGAGGCCCAGCTCACGCCGGTCCACGGCCGGGTACTCGGAGGGATGCCGGTCGGCGCCGTCCGGCCCGTGGGACGTCACAGACACCTGGCGGCGACACCGGCCACAGGTCACAGACACCTGGCGGCGACACCGGCCACAGGTCACAGACACCTGGCGGCGACACCGGCCCGTGGGACCTCACAGACACCTGGCGGCGACACCGGCCCGTGGGACGTCACAGACACCTGGCGGCGACACCGGCCACAGGTCACGGTACTGGTCACTGGACACCAGACACAGGTCACAGACACCTGGCGGCGACACCGGCCACAGGTCACGGTACTGGTCACTGGACACCGGACACAGGTCACGGTACTGGTCACTGGACACCGGCCACAGGTCACGGCAATGGACACTGGCAACAGCACGGCACTCGATCAGGGGCTCCTCATTAAGCGCTGCATGCCAACCATAACTATTAACCAGCCAACACCATGCATGGCTCTTGGTATCACCATGTAAATCTTCGAGAACTCCGATGACTATAGCTAAGCATTATTTTGTCAACATGTATTCTCCCAACTGTATTTCACTCATACAATCTTCGGTGACCTCTTGGGAATTATCAGGGCCATTTGGGACACTTCTTCAGTCCTGGCTTCTCGGCAATGCATATGTATTCTGCGGACGGATTGACGAATCTGCTCGGCTCCAGCGCCGTGAGAGGTTCCCGGTAGGCTGGCCATTTATTTTCATGCGCGATCGGAGTCGCCGCTCGGCCGCGCGGCTGATGGATGTAAGACATTTTTGGACTTGGACACGCCACACACGGCTGTGATCCGTGAGACCTTCGGCAGAAGTGTCAGGCCACGGCATGACTGGTTCGTGACACTGGCAATGGAGGCTGGCTGGTCTGATGTTATGTTTAGTATTTCTCAATGTCTTTTCATCGATGGCTTTGTGGATGTGATGACAATTCGTACACAATTTAGCAATGCTGTTTTAAGTGTACCCAGAATGCATTTTTCTAACACAATTTTGTTAGCCTGACGGTCCTCAGTATTTCCTTGCAATTAACATGAATGTGAGTTGACTTCAATACCCACTCCTCACCAGCTCGAATGCATGGATATAATTACATAAGAAATTTATGCCTCTTTACTAAAGTCTCTACCACAAAGACCTCCACATCACCGCCGAAAGTTCAAGCCAACAACACAATAGCGCCGCTTTCGAGCAGGATTGTGCCAGTTTAGATAGAGATCTAACCATTGTCGAAATGACATTTTTATGTAAATTGACATGCATGCGGGCATAAAGCCTGTACGGTCTCCTCCGGATAATGGTCGAATCACATTCTGAAAACAGCGTAACGCAGCGGTTCCGTTTCGCTCGGGTTGATAGGGGTCGGTCTCATGGGAGAGTCGGCCTAATCTGAAATGCTGATTCAGATGCTCATGCTGAAAAATGGTCCCCAAAGTGAATATCACCAGGAATATCTGCTTGCCATCAGCGTCATATGAAACGTTTAGTGTTGCCCACTGAGAGAAAACCGCGGTATAATGCAAAATGATGTCTTCTTTATGGCAGAATATAAATGAATCCTCTGATGAGCTTAGCACAAGGAACTAAAAAACTTGAAAAGACAATGAAGTGGTGTTAAATGTCATGAAAAAGGTCGGAGTGCAGAAAAAAATATAAGGGCAGTGATGTCAAACAGCATTTCTTTTGATCTAATCCGTGCATTTGATAGCCAGACTAATCGGTGTTATTCGATAGACTGAGTTTTTATTTCAGTGACCACTAATGCTTCAGTGAATGAACATGACATGGCAGGGGTGCAGGAAAATACATCGAACACGTGCTAGTCAAAGCTAGCAGGATGTTCACTGCGCAGCACGCACCCTTTACTGAACACATTCGAATTGGTTATGGTTATGCGCGAGTCCGAGCACTATTTACATCCTACTTTCCTACCTGAGACGAGGCGTAATGCTGCGACATTTTCACGGGCAGTGACGTGATGGTTGCTCCGTGCAGTGACGTCGTGTGGTGGCTGACGTCACTCCCAACATGAGGGAGTGACGTCACGTCACTCAGACCGCGCTTGTTAGATATCAGTAGCGGTGATGATGGTGGCTGGACAACTCCCTGGGGAAGGACAGCAAAACATTTGTAAGTAGGTACTCACGTACCTATGGGCATTATTTTGCGGATCAAATGCACTTTGCTAATAATAATGGAAATCCCTTTCAGCTGTGTCGTTAGAAAGATTGAGAACTGCAAAATTAACATTTGCAAGATTGCATAATCTTGTTACATTTAACGCACAAATACATTGCACTCACATCTAAAAGCGGAGCTTTCTTGTAGCTGGCAATTGTGGCGTAGCTGCAGCTCCTGGCCATCATGTCTATGGTCTGGTAGTTTTTGGAGATGTTCTTCAGAAACACTCGACTTCCACTGGTCACGGTTCCAGCATACCCTGGGCTGCAAGAAAATAGCACAGTTACAAATCAAGCTGTCTGGTATAGGTATAATTTTACATCACCGGACACAAGTAACTACACAATACACATCATAATCGGATCCTAACATGTCAAATCTCTAGCGGAATGCACATATCAAACAAAGTCTGACGCAATTTGTGAGCTACAATACTTACTTCACGTAATGAATCACATCAAAGAGAATGCAAACTAGCTGTAGCATTACTCGCGTGTCGTCTGTCCAATTTAATTTTAATTCGACACAGGCAATTAACTCTGGGGCGCGGAGCTCGGAGTGGCCGGCGCAGTGTCCCCGCGGGGCCGTTCGCCGCCGCTGCGCCCGGCGCGCACCTGAGAGCGGCCTTGCGCTGTCGGACGTAGAACATCATCACGCCTCCGAGTGTGACGAACGTGACGCCGATGGCGCCCGTGACGCCCAGCACCAGACTGAGGTCCTGCTCGGCGCCGCCCAGCACCAGACGCACCGTGTCGTTGGCCGCCTCGTTCAGGGGCGTCGGTTGACCTGGCGAGGGCAGGGTAGATGGGAACTGAATAGCAGAAGTTTTTCATTATTCGGATTATCAATAATTGGTAAATGACCATGCTGAATTCATCATGATGTTTGCTTTTCTATGCCCACAAAGTTATCATTAAAAAAAGTTTGCAAACACTTCATGTAAACGCCTCAGATCAAATCCAGGTCCCACATCATTGCTTTCATTGATGTTGAGCACGTCAATGCGCTCCGAAAGAGAGCCAAGCGCATGAAGTGAAAACAAACGGTGGAGACCGAGGATCATGCATCGTTCTTACTGCAGGCACAGGCAAACTGACCAATATCAATATAAAGGGAAACCAGATTGGGACTAACCTTGCAAACATGTCTTGCTGCGCTTCAGTTTGAGGAAGATGATGGCCTGTTTGGGCTGGTAGGTGGTGATGTTGAGCATGATGTCGACGCTGACCACGGCGCTGACCCGCCCGGTGCAGGGGAACAGCACACTGCCGACATGGTATCAAATCAGCCACCAAGCAACAGTACACTGCCGACAGGGTATCTGCAGTAGATCAGCGATCAGAGACGCAGCGTATAACGGAAGCAGCACACTGCCGACAGGGTATCAAATCAGCCACTAAACACGGGAACGGCACACTGCCGACAGGACAGCAGCTCAGAGAGACCGGACGTCGCAGAGACTCAGTGCTCAGGGACTGGACGCGAGAACGGCACACCACTGACGGAACATCAGCCCAGCTCAGCCGACAGGGACTCAGAAAGGCGCCGATTCCACCGGTGCAGGGGAACAGGACACTGCCGACAGGGTATCACGAATTTCTATCGAAGTGCTACTCATTGATGATATGAACGCTGTTGTTCCTGCTGATTTGGGAGCAATAAGATAATGTTTCCTTTCCCTTCGCAGCAGACTGTTACTTCCAAATTGTAACTCAAAATAATGTTCAGTGACCAATAAACACATAACTCATGCATGAGTTGCATCATTTTACCCTACTATCGTGACAAATTGACTATCGGAAGCTTTCCATTCATCAACAGACACCCTCTGATGGTGACTTGCAAAATAACGGGGAACGGGGCAACGACACCGGATCATGGTAGGCCACAAAATGGGAGCATTGATTTCGGCTTATTTCGCCGATGAGCCCACTTAGTGTCTTCACAATGTTGACGTACAGCCCACTAAGGCCTCTGAAATGGCCGAGAGGAAGCAGTTACCTTAGAGTGGTCCTCTAATTTACATACTAGCCTCATTTAGGTCTTAAAATTACGCTCATGGTGCCCGCAGCTAAATACAGATCGACCCAAGTGCGTGGGTGAACGATGCTTAAAACACTTGATCTGATCTGCTGGCTATGGCATGGCTAAAACTTGGACATTCAGGTCATAATGTGAGGGGATATATGAAGACATAACCAATAAACAGACGAAACACCATGATGGGCATTCATCCACATGGAATCGGAGAAAAATTGTTCGATGCTTTCAAATTCGAATAGGAAATCCTTGCCACTTTTCATTAGCATTGCCCACAAATCACCACTTTGGTTATAAGTACCAGCGGTTCACAGCTTCCAGGGTTCTGGTCTTCATCCCTCATTCATCCGGAATAATATTCGAGTACTCAGACCTTTGGTCGCACAAACCACTCGCCCTTCTCTCGGACAAGAGAGCTCGTTGGGGGTCGCTGTTCCCCCCGCCCCTTCCCCAATCCGTTTACCGCTCGTGGCTGCTATAGGGAGCCTGTTTGCCGTCGCTGTTCTCCAGTAATCCGCGCGAGTGGCGCCGAAATGGCGCGATTGTGCGCCACCAATGCCTAGTTTACGGCCGCTCTGTGAAGCGCAACGTTGGATCAACACAGAAATGAGGGCACGCTCGCACGACCAGCGCGCAGATTCGACCCACACCACTCGGAACGGTAGCTCGGGCGGGCGGCAGTCAGCCAGAAAATATAGAGACATTTGCACAAAATGTATCGGTGCGCGATTGCAAGTTTGTTGATGATATTCTCCATTAGCATTATAGAAAGTTCCTCCATTGCGTCATTATATTTTCGTTATCGAGCAGACTACTAAAATGCACGCAGACCATCACTCAGCCAGACCATTACGAGCACGCCGAGTGCATGAGCATCATTATCTATACAAATATCGATACCCTATTTGCGAGCGGTGAATGCCGCGGCGGCCGGGTGGGCGGGGTACTGCCAGCGTCGCGCCGCCGCTCGCAGGATGGACGCCTAATGCACCCCGAAGTAATTGACTTACGGAAGAAAGCCGCGGCCGGCTGCCCGTTACAGTGCCGTTGATCAATGACCCAGAACAACATCTGAGCCCGCCCGGGCGCGCCGCACGGGCGTCATCCCGTCATCGGCGGCGTCATTTCCTGGCGGGGCGGGGTGGCCGCGCCGCCGACACCGATCCATCTCGCGTTTCCTGACACCATCTGGACGTTTCCGGGCCGGCGACGCGGCGCGTTTTCCGAGTCGGCACCGCCGAACACGACGAGACGGTCGCGGCGAGAGTGTCCGACGCCGGTCGGTCTGGTCGCAGATTACTGGGACAGAGGCGACACGAGACGGCTTTTTGTTCGGTAGCGTGACGAGAATCGGCCTGTCCGCGGACACGCAACCCCCGCGCACGAACAACGCGTCACGAGATTTTGTTAATGTTATGAAACGGTTAACGAGAGAACTAGGGCACGGTCAAAACATTGATGAAACATGCATTGTTTTATATGAGAACTCAAGTCCGTGCTTCGTTTCACAGAGGCGGGGAACGGCGATCCTACGGCGAGGCGGCGAAACTGCAGGGTGCTGCTGCGCCGCAGTACCTCCGAGCATTGCGGCACAATCTACCTCCCAGGCAGCTGACTACGGCCTGAGCCACCGCTGAGCGAGCCATCGGTGCTCCCTGCTGGCTGCCGGAGCAAGTCGTCGTTTATTTCATTATGGAATCCGGGTTCTGGAATCCGGTCATTTTCCTGCAGTGCTTCATTCTAGAACGCAACGCATTTGATACGTATAAGCAATAACTAAGCATCCTGGTATCCAAAGTTCACTTGCATAATGCATATAAACATACAAGAAAGGCGTCTTTTCCTACAATATGATGGATTGATCAATATATTCACAAGTTAATTAAGATCACATCCGTACCGGTACAAGTAATGGTATTATGTAAGGGTTTTCAGGCCAGCCGCACAAAGCTCATATTCCTGCAGCTCTGGCATTGTGATACCATTCCACCCTGCAACCGTCGGTTGGCTTTTGATTGGCTTCGATTGTGTCTGAATAATTTAGTGAACCATTGTGCTTGTGGATACCAATGTTATAGGACCTCAGAGTGGGATCAAACATATCAGGATTTCAATTATAAATTTTGATAGCTTACATTGCAGTTCAATGTCGGGAAGGTATGTCTGGCCTACCTGCCTCCTATGACAGACAAATTCATCGCGTGACTGAGGGACTTTGAACGGACGACTCCTTTTCATCAGCACATAGTTTCCGTTCGTGACATTTCAGCATGAGTGTAAACACTACTTCATCCTATTACGAAGCATGTCAGAATAGGTAGTTCATTTGGATAATCAGCATAGGAAGGCGCGTTCTCTGTGTCTCTGCTGTCATTGGCAGGTTTGTTATGTAATGAAGACAGGCGACAAGGCACAGACAGGTGGCTCACATCCGTATGCATATAAACACCACAATCTTTTGGTTACTCAACTACGCATGGTGCACATTGCACCCAGCATTTTCCACTCGTCTGATTACTTCCAATCTTGGGTCGATGGGAGCTCTAATCCCAGAACTGCCGAGACCCCAGACTGCAGGTATTCTCCCGCTGCGGCACGTCTCGGCTCTCACGTATGTAAATTGTCGGCTGACCGGCCGGTCCGGCAGGCCCGCGGGACGGCGCCGTGACCGGTCACCCACCTGAACACACTCTCCACGCGCGGCACGTAGCCCACGTACGACACGTTGGCACGTGGCTCGTCCATGGCCTCCGGGTCGTTCCACCGGAAACTGATCTCGTATGGCATCTGCCGGTCACAGTCGGATAGAAGACGTCAGTGTTCTACAGTCCGGCACTCGTTTCACTTATAACATTCTGGGTGAAGGGAAGAAGTGAACGTTCCGTGCCATTGTAGGTACGAGAGCGGGTAGGAATCTGCTAATGGCATGCTTCATAGCATTCTCCATTCATTGATGCATATGTTTTTGTAAATGTCATTATCATTCATTATCTGATGTTATAGTGAAGTGCGTAAATTAGAATTACACAGAACATGAGCTGTGTCTGACAGAAGGAGCGCAGGCCATGTCCCCGGTCCGGGGAGCCACTGACCGGTCGGCGGACGAGGCTCTGCCAGTGGAAGTTGATGCTGCTGATGTTGGCTCGCACCGGCACCACGTAGCCCATGGCGTACTTGTTGATGACACCCTCCTGGATGTAGAAGATACGGGAGCCGTGCACGCCTGATGACGAGAGGCAGCACCTCAGAGAATGGCAAACGGGCCATCGCGTGGTACTGGTGATCACAGATGGCGGGAAAGGACAGGCACGGTGGCGTGGAAGTTGAAACGACAGAAGTTTTAAATATAGCAAGTCTTATAAGACTGTTCGATGGTTTCACGATGCATAGAGTAAGTAAGTAAATTTGAGCATTCCTATTTATGGTGGTGCAATAAGTTTTCGTGTATTTTATGATCCGATAAGTTAGGAGCACGAGAAGCCTTACGGTCTACATTGAGCAAAGTCGTATTTCGCCTAGCTTTCAAGCGCCGTCCACGTATATCAGCCGTCTATTGTTGCTGCTCCTCGTTTCGCAGCACACGTCCCGTGCTAGACGGGCCATAACGCCCCGTGTCGATAAGGCCAGCGGTCTATACGCGCTGTGGAGGGCGAGTTACGGCCCGGCGCCGTTACACATGCGGTCGAGTTACGATCCAATGACGTCACCCAGTGCTGCCAAACTGCCGCGCCGACTGACGCCAGGCTTTAGGGCTTCGGCCGCCAATAGACTTCACTGACCAGCCGTAAATTGGAGAATTATCCGCGACCCAGTGCCCGTCCGGGCAAATCAGTTCTGACGCCGGGCTGATGGAACCGATTGCATTGATATGGGTCATGGGAAATGATTTCGTTGCCAGCTCTTTTTGCAAGGTTTTATGGTTCGTTTTGAAGGGGTCAATGGCGCTTCATGGTCCTAGTTAAGGGATGTCAATCTCATGATTTGTCGTATTATATGAGCAACATTATTATTATGAATAATATTTGTCTGCTCTCTTTCCTGTCATAATATTGATGTGCATTTACTTCAAAATATATTTCGACCAGACACATTTTCACTATGCCCGCGTATTTTAGCAAAATGTTTTAACATTATTTTACTCTAGAATTGACATCGGAAGCCAGGCGTTATTGAAGCCACGCCGCGCTCTGAGCCGCAGTGAGCCTGCAATATCAGACTCGGACGGCCACAGCACCGGACACGACAATGATCCCCCACATTGCGTGTCTTCATTGTCGGAGGCTATTGACCGTGACACGCCACGTGCGCGCCTCTGACAAATGCGCCAGCCGCCGGATCGGCAATTTGACAAACTGTGCGTCTGCAGGTTACCGCCGCAGAGCCGGGTCACATCATTAGACACCGGCCGGGCCGACTGAAAGGAGCACATCAAGGTGGCACTGGGTGATCGAGCGCATTAGCGCACCACAACTGCCACCGACTGTTCCGGGAAGTGCGCCTTAGAAGTGCTGGCTCACGAGGTTGGTGACCTTTGATGAGAGACTAGCAGCTTTGTTGTGTGCTGGGAACATTCCGGAGCGGTTACCCATCCCCAGTGCGCGGGTACCCGCCCAGTTTGGTCTGGCGTCTCGCTGTCTGTGTCTGGCTGTCTGGTGTCTCGTTCTGTGATTGGCTGACCGTTGATCGGTCAGTCACGTGATCGTGTATGGTGCTGTTGCTAAAGTAAAATATACCGCACCCGGTTTAACAGAGTGTCTCAAGATACAACAGTGGCGACAAGGCAAGAACCCACGGCAAGATGAGTGATTCAGATGAGAGGAAGCCGGCAACAGGTATCGCAACAATGCACCAGCCCACGGTATGTCTCACGTCCGCCATTGGCGAATTTGATGAACGTCAAGGCACCTGGAGGGATTACATTGAACGATTTGAGTTCTTTTGCGAGGCTCAGGGCATTTCAGAGGATGATAGAAGGAGAGCACTTCTCTTGGCTGGTATTGGGCAAACTGCGTATCAAAGAGTCAAAACCATTCTGGCACCCACCCGACCCTCTGAGATGTCATATAGAGATATTGTCATGGCCGTGCAAGATCATGTGGATCCGAAGCAGTCTGTTATCGTTAGCCGTTTCCGGTTCCATCAAAAATGTCAAGGATCAGAACAGGGGATAAAGGAGTTTGTGGCTGACTTGAAAGTCATGGCCGATCCATGCGACTTTGGATCAAGTCGAGATGATATGTTACGCGACAGATTTGTGTGTGGACTCGCTGATCAGGCGTTGCAGAAGCGGTTGTTGACCGAGGAAGATACTCTGACGTTCCAACAGGCGCAGCGGATCGCACTGGCAGCAGAGACGGCGACGAAGAGCGCAAGACAGCTGGCTGCCCAGTCATCCGATCTAGCGGCGCAGGACGTTCACAGAGTTGGATCTGCACGACAGGTGAAAGGGTCACCATCCAATCGGTACGTCAGATCGGAATGTTTCCGCTGCGGAGGCACTAATCATTCACCTCAAACATGCCGCTTTAAGACGTACAAGTGTCATTCATGTGGCGAGCAGGGTCACTTAAGTCGCAAATGTCGCAAAAATGATCAAGATCATGTGCGCGCCTCGCAAGCTAAATCTACACACTGTGTACTGACTGATGAGTCTGTCAGAGTATCAGAGCCTAGTCAGGCTGCTGAAGAGGATAATGTTTGCAGCGTGTACACTGTGGGTGAAGCAAGGTCCCCTCCAATCACAGTTGACATCATAGTGTTTGGTGTGCCCGTTACCTTTGAGGTTGACACAGGATCGGCATCCACGCTGATGAATGCCCGCACCTTTGAGGTGGTGAAGACTACAGGCGGCGACGACAGCCTTGAACTTCGGCGAAGCAGCGCCAGGCTTCGGACGTACACGGGTGAGCCCATCCCGGTCGAAGGGGAGTTCAGTGCCGTCATCCATTACGGTGAGCAGCACCTGGAGCTTCCCGTCGTCGTGGTCGACACTGCAGGACCCAATCTTCTGGGAAGGGACTGGATGAAGTTCCTTCAGCTCGACTGGCAAACCATCAAACAGGTCAGAGGTGATCCTGGGCGGGGACAGTCAATGGGTGCAGAGCTGCAGAAAAAGTACCGTGATGTGTTTTCTGCTGATCTAGGGTGCCTGAAAGACGTGGAGGTGAAGTTTGACGTCAATGAGGATGCAAAACCATGTTTCTATCGCCCACGGAACATTCCCTATGCCTTCAGGAAACGCGTGGAGGAGCAGCTGGACGCAGAGGTCGAGGCTGGGGTCCTCGAGCCAGTGCGCACTGCGGACTGGGCGTGCCAAATCGTCCCGATAGTGAAGCCCGACGGTAAAATCCGCATATGCGGAAACTTCAAACAGACAGCTAACAAAGCCATTCGAGTAGACAGACACCCCCTGCCCAAGGTCCAGGACATGTTTGCCCAACTGGCTGGGGGAAAGGTGTTTGCCAAGCTAGACTTAAGCCGTGCATATCAACAGTTGAAAGTAGCAGAGGAGCACAGACACTTGCTGACAATCAACACTCACCGTGGACTGTATCGTTACCTGAGGCTACCGTACGGGATAAACTCAGCTGTGGGAATCTTTCAGCGTGAAATGGAAAAGCTGCTGGCTGGCGTGCCAGGAGTCTTCATCTTCCTCGACGACATCCTGGTCTCTGGACGGGCTGAAGACGAGCTCGTGTCCCGTCTGGAGCAAGTGCTGCAACGACTCCAGGACTCCGGACTTCGGGTGAGACCGGACAAGTGTCACTTCTTGGTCCCCCGCGTTGAGTATCTTGGTCATGTCGTCGACAAAGATGGCCTTAGTACCACGGAGGCCAAGGTTCGAGCCATAACCCAGTCACCTCCTCCCACAAATGTCTCTGAGCTGAAGTCGTTTCTCGGCATCGTCAATTATTATTCCCGGTTCATCCCCAGCAGAGCCCAAACGCTACACCCGCTCTTTGAGCTCCTCAAAAAGAGTACGCCGTGGTCCTGGGAACAAGAGCATCAAAGGGCTTTCGAGGAATGCAAACGATTGCTCACGTCCAACCAACTCCTGGTTCATTTTGATCCTGACATCCCACTAGTCCTCACCTGTGACGCCTCCGCTCGTGGGATCGGAGCTGTGCTCTCACATGCGTTTCCAGATGGGTCTGAGAGGCCGATAGGATATGCGTCTAGGACGCTACAGACAGCAGAAAAGCAGTACAGTCAAATCGAAAGAGAGTCCCTAGCTATCATATTTGGTGTCACCGCCTTCCGTGACTACTTATATGGGGCAAAATTTGAACTGGTCACAGATCACAAGCCTCTTATCAAGCTCTTTGGAGAGAACAGCGGCATGCCAGAGATGACAAGCGCCAGAATCAAACGCTGGGCGCTGAAGCTTTCCCAGTATACCTATACGATCAGATACAAGTCAACAAATGACATTGCTCACGCTGATGGTCTGAGCCGACTGACACAGTCAGTAGGGCAGAGTCACATCCCTCCTGAGGAAGAGGATGTCTTACTCATCAATTACCTTGAAGAGGCCAACATTTTGAGTGCCCCTAAAGTGGAAAGACTGACGAACAGGGATCCTGTTCTCAGCAAGGTCATCCATTGTATTCGAATGGGATGGTCACAGAACGTGAGCTCTGATCTGAAACCCTATGCAGATAGACAGACTGAGCTCTACATGATCGGAGGCTGTGTAATGTGGGGAACAAGAGTGGTCATACCTGAGGCGGCTCGAAAGTCTGTCCTGGAAGAACTCCACAGTTGTCACTTCGGGGTAGTCAAAATGAAAGCTTTGGCTAGAACAACAGTTTGGTGGCCTGGGATTGACCGAAATATCGAGGAGCTAGCCGCATCATGTTTTGTATGCAGATCCCAGAGTCCAGATCCTCCTAAAGAAGAGCTCCATCCGTGGCAATATCCAGTGAAGGCCTGGTCCAGACTGCACATTGACTTTGCCGGCCCGAGGAAGGGCAGGTATTACATGGTTGTCTGTGATGCCTTTTCAAAATGGATCGAGGTAGAGATCATGAGTTCCATTGATGCACGTACCACGATCAAGAAACTGACTTCAGTATTCGCGCGTTTCGGTCTGCCCGACGTCATTGTCACAGACAATGCCCCAACATTCATTAGCTCAGAATTCCAAGAGTTTTTGAACAGGAACAGCATTCAGCATCGCACGATAGCCCCTTACTCGCCTGCTTCGAATGGCTTGGCTGAACGTGCTGTCCGAGAGCTCAAGGTACGGCTTGACAGATTGACTGACGTATGTGCTGAGGAGGCTGTGTCTAAATGGCTTTTCTTGTACAGGGCGACGCCGCACGCAACGACCGGGGAGTCTCCTGGCAAGCTGCTCATCGGATACAAGCCGGTCACCAGGTTCGATAAACTGAAGCCGGACCTTCAAGGTAACGTGATCAGGAAACAGGAGAACTTGGTAGAAAGTCACAAAAGAAGGCATACTCGAGTGAGGCCTGCGTTTGTTGTTGGTCAAACTGTGTGGGCTCGGAAATTCGGCAGAGAGAAGGCTGTGTGGTGCCCTGCTATTGTTGTCAAAAATCGTCATCCTCTGTACTGGGTCCGGATGTCCAATGGGCAGGTACACAAGCGTCACATCAATCAATTGTACTCACAGGCTGCATCGGCGCCCAGTCTGGAGACTGCTGAGGAGCTGGAGCACGGTGGCGACATCTGCGGCGCCGATGTCCCCGATCGTCTGGCCGGCCGTTCCGCTACTGCTCCCGCTGCTGCTGCGGAGCCGGCTGAACCGCCTGCTGAGCGTCTGGAGTCGGCCATCGGCGGCGCCGGGTCGACCTCTGCTGCTCGGCCGTCGACACTGAGACGAGATGAGAGCGCCGGTCGCGTCTTCCCGGAGCGTCACGTGCCAGACGCTGCGCTACAGCGAGTGGAGCCCGGTGTCGTCTCCCCTCGATACTCCCCGCCGCGATTCGACCGCGGCTCACTATCTGGTGAACCATCGCCGGAGCGTCCGTCCGTGAGCGCGAATGTCCCCAGGCAGATGGGCGTTGACGCTGACGCTCCACGACGATACCCGCTTAGAAATAGACGGCCTGTGGTGCGCTACTAGAGGTCATAATGTATCTGTCGAAGTTGATTTAGTTTAATTGCAAGGCTAACTCTTGATTTAAATGGGAGGGTGTTGTGTGCTGGGAACATTCCGGAGCGGTTACCCATCCCCAGTGCGCGGGTACCCGCCCAGTTTGGTCTGGCGTCTCGCTGTCTGTGTCTGGCTGTCTGGTGTCTCGTTCTGTGATTGGCTGACCGTTGATCGGTCAGTCACGTGATCGTATCGGACGGTCAGGGCCGCGTCGTGCTGGCCGGTCGGTCGGGAGGAGTCGGTCGGTCACCGCTGAGCCAGCCGTCGGTATGGTGCTGTTGCTAAAGTAAAATATACCGCACCCGGTTTAACAGAGTGTCTCAAGATACAACAAGCTTAAACCTGCGATGTCTTCACGCGTTGAATGTTCCTACGCTTCGTCGCTGTCCGCGTATTGACTGGAGGAGGTAACTAAGTCCAGCACACAGAACTGGTAAAAGGTGCGCCCAGTCGCTCGCCGGGTAGGAAGGAGGTGACATTTTACCGACCCCCTCGGTAATGGCGTGTTTGGTTCAGCGCGCACCTGCTGGCGGCTCCGAGCAGCTTGTTTGCAGGCTCATTGGCGTAATGGCGAGCGGTCGCGAGCGCCCCTGGGGTCCAAACAGTCGTGGCTCGCGTGTATTCACAGGCGGTCGTACTAACGCAAACAAACTTATGGCTCGCGCTATTGGGCTGGTAGTGGAGCGCAAACGGACATGGGAACAGCCAGGGGTACCCAACAATAGAGACCGCGGCAGGGTGGCTAATTCCTCATGTCACTAGTCATGATGGACTTGAAATTTGTTTACCTATCACCATCGATTTTATGCCTAAGCTAATATGCGATATAAAAATAACTGACGCGATGCATTTATTCTGAAGTTTATTCATAATGGATTGTGAATAAGAACTGTAGGTAATATTGCTTTAATGTAATGTCAGTAACCCTACATAGTGCCATGAGTGACCTTCCTGGGCTCCGGCTAAACAATATAGCGGAGCGTATTGTCCGTTGAGTCACAGCTTTCATAAAATCAGATGCTCATAAGCCAGGGCGCTTTGTTTCATCCTCTCCAGTTTAATAACGTCCCAAACTGTCCACTGTCCGGCCTCCACTCGGCGGCCTGGCTTCACACGACATCAAACGGCATCGTTGAAAACCTGGCCGCGGAACGGCCGATGGCCACGGTCGATATTACCCGGGGGAGGGGGTGGGAGAGGTCAGGGGGACGGGGGTCTAGCACACGGACAGACAGCACCGAGGACCGTAAATCAGAGCAGATAGTGGTCGTGTGACGGTGGGCGGGTCAACGGAGTAGTGGGCTGAGGTCACGGTGAGCGGAGCCGCAGTGGGGGCTGGTGGATGGGTGGTGGTATACTCGGGGTAGGATGAATTATGTATCCATCTTGGTTTGACCGAGTGATGACACTTCCTGAGGTAGCCTAGGTCGGCACACATATTTTAGCTAATGCCAGTATCTTTCAGGCCAAGCCGCCAAGGAAAGCGTGCGCCGTGAGGTAATTTCATGACAAACTGTTGGTTCAACTAATGACACGACCTTCTTTACGGAAGGTCAAAACGTACATTGTAAAACATACACTGGAAGAAAGTGGGTTTAGAGTTTAGACACACATGAATCTCCGATGGCTTCACTTAATTGTATGAGGACTGACATTTCACCAAGCGTTACCGCGCCGGGAAGACATACAGACCGACTCGTATGGAAAAAATACGTCAGAGCTGAGGGATGACCAGAGGTCGACTTGGCACCATTGGTTGCTCGGGGCTCCAGTGGAGTAAGACTTGGACTAAGACTGATGGTCAGGCGAAACGAACACCGAAAATCACTTCAGAACCAGCAATGTGGAGAACTAAGCACTCTACACGGGAGACAGAGGAGAGAGAGGACTGAGGAGTATGAGAGAGAGAGAGAGAGAGAGAGAGAGGAGAGAGAGAGAGAGAGAGAGAGAGAGAGAGAGAGTGAGAGAGAGAGAGAGAGAGAGAGAGAGAGAGAGAGAGAGAGAGAGAGAGAGAGAGAGAGAGAAGAGAGAGAGAGAGAGAGAGAGAGAGAGAGAGAGAGAGAGAGAGAGAGAGAGAGAGAAGAATAGACACAGAGAGTAGTGAGAGAAGAAGGGAGAAAGAGGGAAGCATGGAGGGAGAAGGAGGGTAAGACAGAGAAATATTGCAGCTCTGCAATGGACTTCACATATTCACAGATTTCATGATCAGGATCGCACGGACACACACGCGGCCTCACAGACAGACGGAAAGACAGACAGACAGACAGACACACATGCAGACACACACAGACACACAGATAGACGGACGGACGGACAGCGGGCCATCGGTGTTGTTTGATGACGGCGACTGATCGCCGCTGCGCCGGTCGCTCGGCTGGCGTGTCGCCGTCGGCAGTGATAGCAGGTCAAACAGCACCGGCGACCGGCCAATAAATTGCGTCGATAAGGCCCTGCCGTGGTCCGAACAAGCACACTTCTGCGGCCGGGGGTCGGTTTCGCTTTGATATGGAACGATAGCACGCACACTGATTGATTGCAGTTTCAGATTAAACACTTTGGTGAAATAAGAATAGCATCGAACATTTTACGTTATTGTTTGTTTACTTTATTGCGCCGAGGTTCGGTCTAATTTGGCCTGACCTCGACCTGACCTAGGCCTCAACTTGTCCTTTCTTTTGTCCATATCTCAATAGCAAGAAGCGTCATGAAAGCGCAAGTTCCTTACCTGTTATACGGTGGACCTCGGCTCTGTCGGCGTATATGTTGAGATTGGCCCGGGCGCAGCCAATTACCGCCAGGAGCAGGCAGTACCACCACGCATTATTGCACCTCGTCCCGCCAGCCATCCCTGTAGTTCAGGGAACGGCCGCTGCAGCCGTGGTGGCGCTGCCGTCAGCAGCTCCAGCCGAGGTCGTTAAAGCGAGCAACCACCTGGAACAACAAGCTACGTCAGCGAAATGACGGCTGTGGGCCCGACCGGCGACCAGGGACCGATGGCCAGACGCAGCGGCGGCGGCGACATCGCATACGGGCAGGAACGGGCTCTGATTACCCCCGGGACCTGCAGGGAAGATATTTTCGTAGGATATTTTCTGCTGTGTCTTTACGTAGTAGTAGCTTACACCTCGATAGATCAATTGTTTATTTGACTAAAAATTACATGAATTACGCAACTTGTCTCCTTAATTTTTTTTTCTCCCACGTGTCAGGCGATCGCCAGCGGTCCTTCCCTGCGGCTGAAGGATGAGTTTGAAGCTGGTCCGTCGGTTACGGTCGGTGCCCGGGGGAGCCGGTCGTTATGACGGGGACCGGACGCCTTCCGGCCGTTTGTCACACCAACAGAACGTGAGGGGACCGCCGAGCAGAGACCGTTGACACGGCGGGGACCGACCAGAGGGCTCTGATCAGCGGAGAATAGCCAGAGTGGAGGACTGGTCGGTCTGGTCCAATTGATATGGGGGGAAGGCGAGGGCCGGTCACTGACCATGGTGGAGAAGGGATAAGGACTGGCTCCTGGCCCAGTAACGGTGGGGAAGGGGACGGCCGATCCCTCGTTCCTGGTTGGAAGGTAAGGACGGACTATTGGTCGGTGGTGGAGGGTAAGTGGCGAGCCCTCCCCTGCATTTATGTACTATTTACCTAATTAACCCGCGCCCTGGTGGGGTCTGTTTATAACGCGACCTGGTGAAGGGGGGGGGGGGGCTATTTTTTGCCCCCCCCTCGTATCTCCGAAACTACTGGACGGATCCGCAAAATTCAAACGGCGTTCGAAAGGCCTGTCAAATTTGTCGAGGAAAACCAAATTTCATTGACCTCGGGGTCACCGATGACGTCACAGGTCAGGTCAAAGATGAAATGTTTCACCGTTCACGGGTCTTCTAGGGAATGCGCTATAACACCGAGGAAAACGCATTTTGTCGAGAATCAGCGATAGGGCGTCAGTTGCCTAGTAGATATGTTGCTATTAGAGGTCACTGGTAATACCAGGTCAGGTCACAGGTCAGGTCACCAAGGGTCACAGGTCAGGTCACATGAGCTCAACTTTACTAAGGTTGTGTGATACATGTTTTATGGCCAATTTTTCATTTCCAACTCAATGGTGTTGGTTATAAGACTATCAGGTACGGCTTAGGTCACTTTCTGGTGAAGTTCAGGTCAAGGTCAGGTCAAGGTCAGGCCAAAAAAGGTCAAATTTTAAAGTTGATAGTTTTGCATAAAATGGGTATTGATTCGATGCAGCTTGTCACGGGGAGTCTAATGGTGGTCTTTGTTTTGCGCTACGGGGTCTAGAATTGCTTAAAATTGAGTTTGAAAATTTGACGTCATCAATTTTGAACAGCTTTTTCGCTATAACTTCGCCAAAAAAAGAGGAATCAATCTCAAATTTGGTATGTGGATGGAAGGTGGTAGGGACTATCACATATATTCCGGTTTTTGCGAAATTCAAAAAACTTTTTGGATTTTTCGATTATTATATCCAAAAAATTTATTTTTTGATTTTTGGGGGTCAAAATCCACAAATTTCAAAAATCCGAGATGGCAGTTTTGTAGCCCTGTCCAATCTACAGCTTTTATGTCCTTATCATTTTTCTGTATTTGCAAAGCTATAGGCGTGACAGCTCTTCCCACGAAACCCTTTTTTGGGTCGAAAACGGCAGAACATGACGTCACTCTGACGTCATTTCCAGTCAACCTATCATAGCCTTTGGAAAATTTTTGGTCACAATGTGTAAAATTGATGTCCGGGAGGGTACTGAAAGTTTGGTGACGATCGGCGCAGCGGTTTTGGAGATATATCGAAAAGTCTGGAGGGGGGGGGGCAAAAAATAGCCCCCCCCCCCACCAGGTCGCGGGTTAAACGAAACAAAGTTGGGCTAAATAACACGCCACTTATCATTGCTACGTTTCTGTACATTTCTTTTGCAGAAATGCAAAGCTGGAACTATTTTGGAGTGAGTTTAGCCACTGAGCTAAGTTTTGGGTAAGAATTCGATTGATTCGAATAAAGTTCCCAAAAGCCAGACTTCCACAATACATCGAGCAATGACCCTAGGTCGGCTTCAAGTTAGCTTGTGATTCTTACCCAGAGCTGTGGCCTGTTTGATCTGTGAACGAGGTCTGATGTTTTTGTTTTGATATGTTTTATATGGCATGATACGAGATGAGAGGTTTGATGCCTCCGTTGACTTGGCAAGGGCCGGCGTCAGGCTCATCGGTAGTGAGATCATTAGACAATAGACACTCAGCCGATCGTCTTCCGGAGTAGAGAATGAGGAGAAACGGATAGTGGGAGGGAGAGGAGGAGATCTCCGCCCCGAGCTGAGGGAGAAGAGCAGCCTGTGTTTGACCTGGCAATGGTGACCCCCGCCGTCTGTTTACGCAGGCGCCAGGGGGCGACTCGGCTTTCAGACTAGGCCCGACCGCTCTGTTGACCTCTTGGCATGCCATGACTTGGACACACAGTCACAGAGTGTCCCGATAAATACGGAGTAATGGGCCCCCTGCTTGTAGGGAAACATCGGCAGAGACGTGTGTGCGTGGCTTGATAGGATTGAGGCTAAATTTCGATGCACCCTTTTTACATTTTATGTTAGGAATTTTTGGGTTTATAAGGAACGACATCGTCATCAATGAAATGCTGATCTCGATGGAAGACAGCGTGATGGATAAATAAGCAAATCTGTTTCAGCACATTTGACATAAAATTCCTATAACTGCATTGTCATCAATTTAACAGGCAGCTCCAGTTTAATCGGGCGTCTCGGGGATGCCTAGGCTGGTGCCACTGATATTGCTGAGCAGTCACTATAGTTCATGTATGCGAACTGCGATAAAATTACCGACTGACAAACCGGACCGTTCGTCCATTGTCAGCATTTTACAGGCAACCGATATTTTATTCGGATACCTTCGAATGAGTAACGTATTTCTAAATGTATACCTTTGAATCTGGATTGTATGTATATTTATCCCATATATTATATATCCAATATATCCAATATTGAATTATCAAAAGCAGTATTTTATTCCAGTTTGCGAACCAATTGCTTTTGGAGCTTTCGAACTTCGACCTTCGGTCAAGCTCCAATACTTCCGCGCTCATTTAATCATGGGCATGACACGATTGACTTATGAGCTTTTCACGCTGCGTGAATATGAACAATTACCTCTTTGAGCGGAGAAATTAGCGGCCGCGGGCCGTAAAAGAGCGTTCCGCGAAGTTCCGTTGGAAGTCTGCGGCAGGGCGTCGCCGGGACAGGCGCAGCAGAGTTGATATTACCGGGGTGCCGCCGAATTCGCAGGTGAATGCCCATTTGACTTTGATGTCGACGGCGTCCGCCGAGCCCAAATTGAACGTCACTGACAGACCGACGAGGTGAAAGTCCGTATGAACCTCGGCGGGTGGCTTCCGCACGATTTAAAAAGGAAATGCACTCGCAATTTGCCAGAAAGCCGTACACGGGAAAATACCAAATAAAGGCTAGACAGCGTAATTGGGCTTACTACCGTGCCGCTTGGCTTACCAAACAACCACAGATCGAGGTGCAGCTATTTTAGCCACTGCTGCCCACGCAACGACCGAGTCGGAGCGGACCCCCCTCCTAGCCATCGGCTAATCAGCTCGCAGCAGCACTGGGTGGTCGTACATCAAGTCCCGACCGCGGCCCGATCAATTAGCCCGTGATCGGCTCCAGCAAGGAAACCCGCGGCTCGGACAGCCAGGAAACATCGTGCCGCGGACAGAAATAGACTTTACAGCGGGGTTACGGAAAGAAAATTGTCCGCCAAGCTATTAGGAGTCTCGTGGCCGGGCATTGATAATATAAGATGTCAATTATCTATAATCATTCGACAATTCATCATCGCGAAAAATATAAGCCATGCATATATGGGATTAAAAATGTATCCACAATGACCAATGCGATCAAAACCGCATTTTTTGTCATTCACTGCATTTAGATACAGCAATGCCCGATGCATCAATGCACGTCATTACACAATATTCCGATGCATTCTATTTTCCCCAACCTGAATCAACTTAATGTACACGCCTTCGGCGTTTTGGAGAATACAACAGAATTAGTTTATTAGCCGATTTATTATCCTCTCCATCACTGTCAATGTGGTCGTCTCACTCGACGACGAAAACGCACGAGACCATCCAATCCGGGGACATTGTCGAGTGGCGCTCATTGTCGCCCACCATCACTCTGAGTCCGAGTCTCCTCGATATACGGTGTCCTAACTCCCGTCGGTGCGGCGGCAACCATTGTCAGCAGCGTGTCCCCAATCGACCGTCTGTCCGTGTGTGCCCGCTGTTCACTCTTGTGCGTCTGTTGTCCTCTCTTATTACGGAGCGAGCGAAGCGAGCGGAGTCTTACGTAGAATAACGGAAATTTCTGAGTATGAGCGGCCGCCCGGCCGGCCGTGGTCACGATTCTGCGACGCTTATATCTCAGCAACCACTTGACCGATTTACATGCGGTAATTTTTGTAGGGTAGCTTCATTCCTTCTACCAAGTATTGGACTATTCCCGATGGATGTGGGTGACCCCTTATGCACGTGCCACGTGCAAAACGAAGAGGTGTCACTTTTATAATTGTTGCAATATCTCGGTAACTACTTGGCCGATTGCGCTGAAAGTTGGCATGTAGGTAGGCACCCACTAGGCAATGCATATCCATGTGCCAGAGTTGGGTGCTGCTGCACGTGCGCACGTGCAGGGGTCGATTCCAGATCTCGAGAACGGCTGGACCGATGGCGCTCAAATTTGGCACATGGTTAGGGACCGGTTAGTAGGGTGCCGTGCAAAACTCAGTTGGGACCCATTTTGCACGTGCGCACGTGCAGGGTGCTGCTTCCAGATCTCGAGAACGGCTGGGCCGATTGTGCTCAAATTTGGCACATCGCTAGAGACCGGTTAGTAGGG